CAAACTTTTTGTAAAATAATAAAATTTATTATTTACATATCTAGGTTTATAAGCAATATTAACCTCAAATGAGAACAAAAATAATAGTATAATAAAATTATAGATCTGTACTTGCATAATCATTAAGTATGACAATTATTGATCAGATGACACTATGAAACTACCATATTTAATTGATAGCTTAAAGGTACTGAATAAAAATCCAAATGGGGTCCTCCAAATTTTATGCATGGTATTTATTTTACAGAATTCATACAGAAAAATGCATTCTAAAATTAGGTAAGCTACTGGTGTAAGCTTTTTCTGTACAATAAAGTTAGTCGGAGTTTCTTTCTTCAGCGCTATCTGAATCTGAATCTTCATCACTCTCAAAGTTGATTATAAAGGTTCGATGTCTGGTCGATCAAAAATTCGTTCTCTTTCATACCATTTAAAAATTTCTTGCTCAGTATGTCGAACACTATTTTTCCACATGTCTGGGGTAACCGTTTGTAGAGCCTCGTTCCACATATCCAAACAGTCTTTTTCACTGTTACCATCTCTACCAATATGTCTGTTATAGTAACCTTTTGCTATGCCCCAAATTAACTCAATAGGGTTAAATATACAATGGTAAGGAGGCAGACGAAGAACTTTGTGCCCATGTTGTTCCGCCAATTCATCAATCACGTATATTTTAGGTGGTTTGTTTCTAAAAAAGCAGTTATTTTAAGAATAGGAATAAACAAAAGAAATATAAGCTGTCGACCAAAATATATATAATTAAGAAGCATTATGTACCGAGCAACAATACTCAATAGCTCTGTTTTAAACATTGTGTTTAAAAATGGTATGTTTTGATTTGTCAACCAGTCTTGGATATTTTTTTTTGTCCATGCATTGTTGGGCACTTTGTTCAATATCATGCTGTGATAAGGGGCGTTATCCAGTATAATCATAGATGGACTCTCCAATTTTTCTAATAACTGATGTTGAAACCATTTCAAAAAATTGTCCTGGTTCATCTCTCCATGGTAATCGCTCAATTTTGTTTTCGAAGAAAATATCGCTTCACTACCCTCAATAAACCCATTTTCATTTACAGCATGTAATATAATGTATCTAAAATATATTAGTTTTAAATTTTATAGTGCAAATTGTGTAAAAGTACATACCTTTTACCATCTGTTTTAATAGCTTTCACGCTTTTTTGGTTTCCATTTTGCCAAGAGCGACCTATGGTCCCATTTTGAAATATCCAAGTTTCATCGAGGAAGACAAACTGGTATAAGGCCTCAACCTTGGCTTGATTGTATTGCCTTAGAAATTCCACCCTTTTCAAAGCTATACTTGGTAGTTCCATGAGCCCTCGTCGCGGATTGTCCTTAAGCCACTTAAATCCAAGATCTCTAAGCAACCGCCTTAAAGACGTGGCACTACCATCAAATAATGCCCTATCTCTTAATCGAGACCATAAAGTTTGTATCGTAACTTGTTCTTCTGAAACCATGTGTAATATGACATTATAATTTAGATAACAAATCAATGCAAATTTCTGATAAGTTATTATAATAAGATCTTACTTTTGTGATACATATTATAGATCACTTCTCGAATGGCACTTGTATCCAATGTCGCTGTGTTGGTTACACGTTTAATATAACTCCGCTTTTTCTTGGGCGATTCTAAATTTGCATCACTTTTCACACCCTCGGAAATACGACTAACTGTCCTTAAACTAATTTTTAAAGCAGCAGCAACACGCTACAAAAAATGAAATAAAATTTCACTATTATTAATATACATTACATATAATTATTAGTAACCTACCTCTTGAACAGCATTTAAAGGCAACAAAGGCCCGTTGTTGTCCCTTTCTTGCTCAAAGTAGTGCATTAACGAGGCCACGAGTTCCTTACACCGACTATTTAACTGTTTGGGCATCTTTATATACCAAAATTGCCTTTATCTACTCGTAAAATGAATAATTTTGTTTTGAAACAAACAGTTGTTGATTTACAGTATGCGGGGCCAAAGGATTTATAAAGATTTGAAATGCCACAAATTGATTCAGTGTCAAAATTAATACAAATGTCAGTTCCCAGTTTAAATAAGTTTCAAGGTGACAATGTGTCAACGCTGCGAAATCGGTTTAGTGCGTTTACATGTCGATAAGTGATTGGAGCGTTTGCAAAACATTTTATTTCGCATAATGCGTCTAAATTTATCAGAAAGCAACTTATGTGATATTTTAATAACAATGTTTATATGACTATTAACCATAATAAGAGAGTAATGACCATTTTACAATTTATATATCACATTAATATGAAACTGCAATAGAGCAATTGTTTGTGATAGAAACCTAGGCATTAGGTTGGGGAATTTTTATCGTGATGACGTGCACGCCACTTTGTTTGGCGTTGACTATATTTACAAACACGCAATTTCTATTCTACTCACATAGTCCCAATATAATTTACTCATATTGATCTTAAATTAAAAAATAAAATCTCAGAAATCAAGCAAACTATTACTTTCCTGCTGATTCATATTCAAAGATTCACCTCGCCTACATCTGGATGTAATTAACGAACTATTCAGATTCAGATTGATCTTGAAGTACGCTAGTGTCGCCTAGCGGGAGCAAAATTCGACATCGATACCATACTGCATTTCTTGGCGGAGCATTTTTAGAGCTTATATCAGACAGAAAGAGCTATCGCTCTTCTGACTTAATATCATAACACAGCAATGAATCACGGTAGTCGTACCTGCATTTCGGCATAATGGGTAGTGTCTTCTCCTGATACCGAAGGCTGCCTATCAGTTAACTTCATGACTCTCAATAAGAGTTAATGGCATTGAATAAAATTTCCAGCGATTTTCCATCCAATGTAACCATCACGACTCTCATAGTTCGACATGACAGTTCAATATAAATTTAATGCGATTCACATGCGTCACTTGATTTCGATGGAGATATTCCGTGATAATGGAAAACGCTAAATGGAAATTGTCTTGGCATGGTTCGCATTCTGATGGAGGCCGAATATTGATTTTACGGCCAGACTACTGAAATTAAGTATTTAGCTCTGGTGTTTGGGTGCCCGAGCTCGACCGACGTTGATGTATTCATAGTAGGCTGGGCATGGGGAAAGGGCGCCGCCTAGCCAGGAAATTGGACGCGCCACAATTGCCTGGACGACCATCAATTTTTCACAAGTAATTTTTAACGAATGTGTCGCATTTATATGTTTAGGAAATGAATTTAAGGAGCCTCAGTACCTTCTTGTGCCCCAAAAACAGTAAAATGTATATCCGTAGCAGATTATCTCTCAGTTGGTATTTGAGATGCAAACAACAAATTTGAGCATATGAAACAGGAAACATACATATGTTTACAAAAGTTTTTATTGCTTCTCGCGTCACTGGAAAGGAAAATCGTGTCATTGATATGCATTGATCTGTCTACTCATAGACCCATCTATAACTTGAAAATGATGAAATTTTCACAAAAGTTCACTACTATGCCAAGGACGAAAAAGCTTTTTAGTTTTTGAAAATCAATCCAAAAACAAATATCATTTAAACTTGAAGTTTTACTGGCCCCTGATTATTTTTAGAGAATTTTTGTAGGAGTTAAACATCAGAGGTTGGGTGTTGTAGGGGGTGGGACAGAGTATATATCAATTTTTGGCATTAGTGCATGCATGTATATGCAGCCAACCCCGGTAATTTCATTAGATATATATCACGCATCATAGATTTCCCTGTATATTTGCCCTTAAAATACTATTTTCATCACACGCATCTGTGGATATTCCTGCGTCAGGGTGTGACTGATGGGTGGCTGTCGTGCCTTGGTTAGTCATACCAACGTTTCTTTATATACCAGTAGTTCAACCAGCACGAATGCCTAAATAACCGTAGGTACCATAAGGCTATAGGGGGATACATAGTGTAGGAGGGGCGTCACACGGAGCACGTGTGCATATGACATGCACACAATTCGGCTCCGCCACAGAGATTCGACATTCGAATTTTCTTGGGACGCAGAGCTCACGGCCTGGTTAGTAGGCCCATAGTGTCTATCAGGGGGGAGAAACGACTTACGGGCCAACTGGCAACACCAAGGTCATTCTCGCCAGGCATAATTAATAAAGTATTCCATCGTTTACCAAAAGATGAAAAAACTGTTGCTGCATGGAAGGCAGTTTGTAAGATATCTCCACTCGTAAAGTTTCCAATTATTATGTTTATGAGGATCATTTTTCAATCCGCAAGATACTTCCTTCACGTCACAGATATTTTGCCATACCAGTGTCCCCCAATGGAGTTTTAAATTCAAATAATAGTCATCCTACTAAACCAGGTCCCAGTTCAGCATCTAGAGTTTTATTCCTTCTGGAGTGGCTACCACAAATCCAACCCCTTCTGAGCAAAATGAAAATTCCAGTGTTATTCTGGAAGATCAAAACAATGAAATCAGTGGAAGTGGTTCTAGAACAGAATCTAGTTATTTAGATAAATATTTGTTAGAGACGAGCTCTAGCATATTAACAAAATCTGGTACATCAAAGAAGGAATTGAGCCCTAAGGAATCACTTATGTATAAAGTCCACCGGAATGTTTGCTCAAGGCTCTCCAAATTAAAATCAATTTTCATTGTCGCTAAGGGTTGGCAAATCAAACTATTTCAAATTTGTTGAAGGCTGGCAAATAACAATTAGATCTGTTATGTCACTATGGAGGGATCTTAAGGAGAAGGGCTTGAAATATCTTTGTTTGAGAAATTTAAATCAAAATTCCCTGGAAAATTTAATTGGTCAAGTAAGTTTCTTCAATACAAATCCCTCCCGTCATCAGTTGTTGCTGTCTTAAAAACAGTAGTTATTACTAATTTCAGCACACCTTTTTCTAAATGTAATTGTTAAATCGATTTTTGTGATACTTTGGTCGATTTCAGTGACTTTTTGGAAAAATATGACCACAGTAACGATACAGTGCTTGATTTAGACCCTGAGATTCTAATTGATTCTGACATGGAAATAATGGACAGTTATGTTGAATGGAATCCTTGAAATGGTTATGTGGGGCTGGGTATATTTTCGACAGTCTCAAAATTGATAGTAATTGTGAATCCTGTGCATGGTTATTTCCTTCGGTTGTTACTGAAAAACATCTATTTGTGACATTTAAAGAGTATGATAAGGAAAAGCGATTGCAGTAGGCAAGTGAAGAATTAATTAACCTGATTGTTCTTCTGGATGAAAAGCTGTAGCATTTTTAGAGCAACATCGTACAGAAGACCAACTGGAAGTTAAATTTAGACGGAAGTATTCCTGCATCCTTTAAAATTACAGCTTTTGACAGCAGCATGATGTGGCAAAAAGTATAATTGAAAAAACTGCTCGGTTGGGAATTTACAAGTATGTAAAGAGAAGTTCTTTGGAAAGGAGTGGTGAGACTATTAATAGTCATATATCAGCAAATAAGAAATCCAAGACAGCTGAAATCAGGTAATGCTTTTTTTTATGTAGTCCAGTACTCGTCATTCATTGAATTTTCTATTTACTTTCAGTAACCAAATACTACTGTGATATTATACATAAAATATTTTTTTTTTGTTTCATAGTTGCATCATCCTTGGGAGGGAGCAGTTGGACGAAGAATAATTATTTATTTTGTTACTCTCTGTAATGTTAAAGCCATCAGGAGCTTTTGGTTTTAAGTATGAGGAATGTCTTGTTTATTTTTAACTTTGATTTCTTCGTTGAAGAACATTTTCCTCATTTTTACACTATAATATATATAATACACTATGTTTTCTCAGTTTATATTTTTATTTCAGTTATTTATTTAACTAGAGATTTATTTTTTGTTGTTTTAGTATGAATGTTTACGTTTCAGTGATAAATATACCTCATGATGGATTAACAATAGGTAGTGCTTGCTAAACACTTCCTTTGATTACTGAGGGTCCCTTTTATCGTTTTTTATGCTACTAATGTATGATTTGTATTTTTGTTTTTGAAAAATCACTTATTCAGTTAATAATATAGCACATTCCTAGCATTCCTAATCTCGGTACATTCTTTGAATTCCTTCGATAGTTCCTCCAGATCTCCAGGCAAGTAGGCGGCGCAACCATCTGACAAAACGTCAACGGTGTTGCCGTTGTTTAACGTGTAGCTCCCACTTCTTCAGTCTTATGTGTTTTGTGGTGTCTATCACTACGACACCGCGCTGTCAGATGGTCGATTCTGTCGCTAGTGCAGGAGAGAAATACCTAGATCGCAACGTTGTCAGCCTTGTATGAGCTTGTTTGACTGACTTGATGCATTTAATTTTTTTGTTATACATGTTCATATCTTTCTCCTCAGAGAGGTTAACTTGCACAGAACATAATGTGAACTGATGACAGCATTGCGTGGGAAGTACAGAGTCAATCTACTTGACAACATTATTTTCAATACCGAAAAGGTTACAGTTTTAGTAACAGAAGCGAGCTTTTAAAGCACAGACTCTCTTTTAACGCAGAAGAACGTCTTATTCGTATAGAGCCCATAAGAATGATTAAAGTTTTTGGAGAAGAATCATGTTCTACAGACTTCTCCTTCAGAGATATCACTCCTAAAAGAAGCTAGTGGAGATGCTCATTTGAAAATTCTTCAATGTGATGCGTAATCATTAAGATCTTCAAAAGGAATTGTGTTCATTTAGTAACACAGTGATAGACTAGTCAAAGATGATACGCAAATACCTGGAGATATCATGAGGCCTTCCAAGTAAGTTTTCGGAAGATGTTTGGGAACACTGAAGAAATAACAGCACAGAAAATATCGGTGGAAAAGCATGAAGATGCGACATGGGCCACGGTGGATCTTCTACGATGTACGGTATCAAGAATCCAGCAAAGCTCAAGTTCAACTGCGGAACAGGCAGGCTGGACTGAAGGGTTATGAGAAACCAGCTGAAGATGACTTTTCAGAGTGACTAGCCAGTGGCACTTCATTAGAATAAAAAATCGCCTCCACTCAGATTTCACTGAAACTCCTAGGAAATAATTGGTTCTTTTTTGAGACCCTTAGAAATGTATCTACGCAGATATAAAGATTTGCTTCGAGTCTCCTTAAGTTGTCTCTAAGCTTCCGATCTTTTCTTATTGCCTCGGACTCCTAGGATCGAAAGCATTCTTAGTCATTTGACATTTAGCTTGGAGAATAATACTCAATCATTTTACAAAAAAAAGGTGTTTTATTCAAGAGTGATTCAAAGACTACTGTACATACTATATCCTTTATACAGCGTTAAATTCATATAATAAACAATTTTTTCTAGTAACTCAGTAGTACCAAAGATAACCGAGATATCAAATGCGGACAAAATCTGAATGCATCAGCATCAAATATGAAAAGTGAAAAGGTACAATCATGTGCATGAGTATGCATATCAGGCGCTGTCGCGCTGGTTTGCAGGTTTATGAATCGAATTTGACAAAATCGATATCGGGTCATCCATACAGCAATAACGTAATTATCTATTTGATAAGAGTTTACCGTGAACGTTTTCAAGTCGCTATTGATCCTTCCAGATCTTTGTTCTGAATGCTTCCATCCCGCGGTGTGTAAGTTTGTTTATATCATACAAAAGCCATCAAGCTGGACACAGTAGCAGACCTAGACAAATGCTGCAGATTTAGGAAGAACTTAAGAAACTCATGTGTTTGAATCGAATGGCAATAACTTCAAGCAACATTCACAAAGAAAACAGCCGGCAGGACGGGACTTGAAATTTCTTATCAAAGGTATAGCAAATTCAGTTTTCTTCAATATCTTTTTTACGTTTTCGCAGATGTTTTACAGTACAATAGCTTTGGTTGTTCAAACATAGTTGTTCCTAAAAAATAAAGTCTCAACTTTCAGAACACCCTATACAGCTATAAATTGTCCATTGCGCGTCTCCTGTCCTGACACACGGACTAAAGAAAATTGGCAACAATGTAGGCCGCCAAACGGCCTCGTCATTCGACCGTTGGTGTTTATCCAACTTCTTACTGGTCCTTTTTCTTGTACTCGTTTCACGCCGTGTACCAGTTACAGAGGTGGTCGTTATCAGACCGTCATGTACTTATGTGTGACGTCACGATGGCAAAATGGCTCTGAAGATGCAACATAACAACAAAGTCGTGAAGCTGTATGATAGTCTGCTCTTTCATCTGTATATTGTATTTCAAATGCAGATTGTCTGCTAATGTAACTAGATAGATTTAGTATAGTTGTGACTACGTCAAAATCAGGGATGGTCAACATTTTTAGAAAAAAATTCCACTGTTCGAGAGAAAAAAGTTGAGAACGCCCCACATTATGGGGGTTAGGGTTGGTTGGTTGGAACGATGCCATATTGGGGATTGAAGGAATCGGTTCCCATCGTTACGGTTCCGATTCCAATTATTCCCATCCGATTCCAATTTCAAAAACCAGGTTCGACCATTGAGATGCTAGTACTTAAAACATGGTTGTATTTGAATGGATTGTTAGTAAGAAACGATATAGCTGGGATTCGAATATCGCCAATACCGCAATGCGGGTCCTCGCACTAACGTTTTTAATTCTAGAGAATGTAGTACTTATGACTTGCCGTGTAGAGTTCGAAATATGTATGATTTACAAATTTCATATTCCACACCACAAGTCACAATTATGACTTTGGAGTCATGTTAAATTGCCATCCTAATGCGTTTATCCCAGAAAAAAGAACCGGGAAAGTAAAAGCGGTCGACCAACTTCCAGGATCGACTGTTAAAGGCAAATTTAATCCTACCCACGCCAATGCTCCTTTGTTCTTTCAAGCTGCTTGTTGCCCCATCTGGCGACGTTCAAGTGAAAACCGGATTGGTAAGGCGTCTTCAATCACTTTCTAGTTGCGCCACGCCACCTCATGGGCACATACCACGGTACCACCTGTATACGAATTTTTAGATGAACCCATCCACAACAGCGAGTCTGTTTAGTAAACAACAACTCGAGAGATAGGAGAATTCGGTGCCGGTGGGATTCAAACCTGCAATTGGGCGTGTATATGCCGAAGCGAATACTAATTTGATGGTAGGATATACGGCTGATCCCAAACGACTTATTTTCAACCTAAAACTAAGCCCCACGACACTCACGATTTTTTCAGTCAATCAATTTGAAATATTTACTTTATACTCGTCTTCTAGATCTAGATAAATCGGGTGAGTAGATTTCGAGCCCTTAGTCATTTTAACGTATGAAACCACGGCTAATACCAAACGACAAAATTTCTACCTCAATCACGATCCCACGGCACGCCACGGTCGCTACTTTATGTTTCTGTTGGTGGTCATATCATTCAGTGCGAAAAAATAAATAGATCTTTAGGGTGTCCAATGTATAGCTGACTGATTTAAATTGCGTCCCATTTTTGATACACGCATTTCAGTAGGTGGCGCCGTAGAGAACCCACGTGTCATCCATCAACGACCGCTACATCCTCGTCAAGTCAAAATTTGGGCGGTGTTTGGTATGGAGGTGTCATTGGACCTTACTTCTTTGAATACGCCGCAGGTAATTCTCTTACTGATATTATTTTTCATACAGAATTTCTAAGATTCAATAAAAGATTAAGATGAAAAGAATAGACGTATTTTATTTCATTTCACAAATGTTCAAGATACAAACCAGACGGTTTCATATCGGCCACTCGCTCGTAACAACAGTAACTTACAAATTCGGGTACATTTTAAGAGCGCATGTGGAAAAACGGAGTGCAGATTTGGAGTTGCGTCTCGTTTTCCACCTCAGCTCGGCTCCAAGAACTATACGATTCTTTGACGGTTATGTTTCGCATTCACAAGTCACAAGTGAGTGTACAAAGACTATCTCGATTGCAAGCTAGTGAAAATTTTGCACCACAAATTCCTATGAGAAATTTTTCGTAAGCGTCCAGGTAACTGTAATCTAAACAAAAACTCATTTCTTATGCGAATGTCACACGGATTGTGGTTCGTACCATCAGTAGGTATTTACTGTTGGAACCGTCAATGTCCGTGGATTTCTTACGTAACCTTATACATCAATGATTACTGACGATCAATAAATACCACATTCCATGATAAATATTGACGGATATTTATAATTTAAGCGAATACATGTCCGTAAAGTGGTGATTTATCTAAATTTATCTGAAGTTTTGACTTACTATATACATATGATGTGTCTTGTGTGGTTAATGAATATTCATTTATTTATTTATTTATTTATCACAGTAAATAGGATGCGTAGACATTAATTTACGCGATCCAATGACGCTT